TCCAGCCCACAGTTTGCAGAAACTGCCTGACACAGCATTGCCAGGCAACGTGGTGAGACCCCCTCCTGGCGAAGGTTTGAGCAGAGACTTCCAGCCAACCAACGGCACAAAAGCGCCTCTTGCACCGCCTGTGCCGTGCGATCCAGGATCTCTCTCAGCACCTTGCGATACACTCCATCGTACAAGCCATGCCTGCTTGAACGGGATCTGCATCTTCTGAAATTTCTGAAGTAGTGGTCTTTCTTCGGGGCCTGTTTTTTGGGCGCTGGCAATCGCCTGTACATCCAGGCTGGCTCGCTCATTTGCTTGCGCATTGCTTGCCCTCCCTTGTCCAATGCCCCCGGGGTTGGAAACGCTTTCAAAGCCAAGCAGCCTCTGAAACTTCAGGCTGCAAGTAGCCCAGGCTCCTTTTAAACCACATACAGAGTCAACGGAGAGCCTGTTGGATGGCAAGTGCTTCCTGGAAAGGAAACGGCTCGTCCAAAGTCCTGGAAATGGACGCCAGCTCCTCCGCTGCAAAGTCAGAGAGCCGGGAGTGGATCTCCTGCCCAACGCTTGCTTTCTCCGACATTCGATTCAACGACTCAAATGGCCATGGGTCAAAACCCCGTACCCCCAGTGAACATCCCCCAAAATAGACCAAAATGGGTGGTGCACCTATCCCAAAATGGTACAATTGGTTTTGACCCATGGCCAAGTCCAGTCCCAGCTGGCCTCCAAGACGGAACCTGCCATGGCTTCCACGCCCCAGACGCCAGCTCGGGCGCGGCCTGGCATGAAGCAGATGCCCAGATGCCCTTTCCGCATTCAGTGAATGCACTGAGAGCCGCGCTGAGAGCATCCAGCATCAAGGACAATGCCTGCGACAGCCGCGCCCTCCGCCCCGAAAATAACATAATCGATGGGCATGCCTCGGTATCAAAGGCGCCGAAGCCCAGATGCAGGATTTGGTCCCCCAGGGCGCCCTTCAAGGCCTCGCGAAATCTGAGCCAAACTTTACGGGATGCGTCCGTCAAGTCCTTCTCTGCCACGATGCCCGGCCGCAAGAACCCACCTGGAATCCAGCGGAATCTCTCACTCTCTCGCTCGCTCGCTCGCTTGCTCACTCACGCACTCACTCGCGCCTTGCCTGCTGCACGTGCACAATCCAGGGGCGACATCTTTGGGGCTTCTTCGCCCAGTCGCCGTAAAGCATTCTGACGCATGCGCAATCGACGTCGCCAGTCACAACAAATGCAAACGAGTGACTTGCCTCATAGAACTTCACGTTTCGGTGACCGAAGCGTGAGGCGGCATAGACGGCGGTCGCAACTCCGGACCCCGACAGTCGATGCCTTTGCGCGAAACCAGAGAAGGAAAGAGGCGAGAAGTCAGATGGCTGTGGGTGAACATCAAAATAGGTGGTACATGGTTATGACCCATGGCCAGATGAAGGCGTCCAAATTTAAGGCCGCGGCATTTCCAGCTCCAGATTCTTTGCAAGCTCCTGCTGCTACCAACCATCAACGCGGCAAGCCTCACGAGGCCCAGAGCCCAGGCCTGCCACACTTCCTCATGCCGCACGGCACCCAGGTTCATTGCCATGGCAAGCGCTGCCAGATCCTCGGAAGTAAACGCAAAAGCCTGCGAAGCCTCGAGAACTGCGTCAACTGAATCACTATCGAAAACTGAATGAAAATGGCCTACTCAAACCAATTTAAAGAAGAACACGCACCTAAGTCTTTCATTTTCGCTTCCAATGACCTCAACTGGCTGCCCATGTTTTCCTTCAAAGAGGGCCACAACGAACCGCAGTGGAGTTCGGTACCCGGCCTCCGCGCTCGCCCTGCCAGCCTCTCGGATCTTGCCCTTCAGCTCGCGCGCCAAGGTCCAGCCTCCGCCCCGGCGCTTTTGGGTCGCGCCGGAGCTTCTTATTCAATGGAGAGCCCGCATCACTCACCGCTGACTCTGCTACTCCTGACCACTTGCTCAGCTAGCTCACTACAAGAAATTCCAGACTTACAGAAATCTCATTCAAGCCTTCGAGCTCTCACCCCCCCTCCTAGATTGCTCGGGCACAGGCAGAGGTCTGCTGGCGCATTGGAGCTCTGCGCGTGCTCAGAGTTCACCAAACTTAGCGCCGGAAACTGCAGGTAAACAGACCACCCCTTCAACAGGTGAGCTGACCGATTTTCCCTCGTCGTGTAAGTTGTCTGGCATATCCAAAATGGCCCAACTTCTGACATCGACCAGGTATCTGAAGATTTAACCAAACGAACAACTTCCCAGGGCAATCCTGAAACCCCGGGAAGCCGTTGCAAAGCTCCAAGCTGCCAACCCCCAGGAGGCCATGGAGTGCATCACATGGATGGCCTTCCCAACTTGGGGTCTCGCGACCGCAACCAGCTGTGGCTGCGCTGGACAATCCGGCCCTTTGTCATTTGTCCACTTCCAGCGTGCCTCGTCTGACGGTTGAAACGCTTGGTCCGACGGACTCGCTGACTCTGTAACCAACATGCATTTTTGGGAAGATAGCAAGTCCCACCTCCTCCACAGGGGTGGGACTGGCCGACTGGCCAGTCGCGATGGCACCCAGGCCGAATTAGTCATGCTCACTCATGAGCAGGGGCGCGCTATGTCGGCGCCACTGCGGCTTTGCCTTCTTTGGGCTCAGCATGTTGACCCGTGGCATGCGTAGCCTCGGGATCTGCCACGTCTGTGGCTTCTGCGGCTTCTGCAGCATCTGCTGTGGGCCGAGCGCCCGCCAGAGCGGGAAGATCGCCACAGCCAGGGCTTTCCACGGACTGCGCCTCACGCGTGGCATCACGCGCGGCAGCCAGGGAGCTCCTTTCGGGGCAACGGGCATGGGCACCACCGGCTCCGCCTCTTCCGGCTCTTCCGGCTCTTCCGGCTCTTCCGGCTCAGACTCCAGGAAGAGAATGCGCTGCACATCTGCCACAGCTAGCCTCTGGGGAAGCCCTTGAATGGCGCCCATGGCTTGTGACAGCTCCTGCTGGAACAGCGGCCTGCCGTCGATCAGCAGGTTGGCCGCAAAGCTCAGCAGCGCTCTCCTCGGCTGCTGGGAAGCGAAGAGTTCCTGCCACAGAGCCAGCAAAGGCTCTCTCTCCATGTGGTGGCTGAAAACGGTAAAGATCCAGCCCATGACCAGGGCGTTTACCAGGTGCTGGCCAAACTCATCCCGCACCATGCGCCTGTGCAGGCCCGGGCTTCTCTCCTGCAGGATGCTCATCAGATCTGCTCGCACTCCTGCCAAGGCTTCTGGCATCCGCGCGTGCTCCACGTGGAAGAAGTTCTTGTCGACCATGTTTACGAGGCTGTCGAACCTCTGCACCACCTCCACTTGCTGCTCTTCCACCAGCATGCACACCCCCATCCTCAAGAAAAACTTTGCAGCTGGCACTGTCAGCAGTGCACGCACCTACTTGTTAGAACTGTTTGTCGAAAGTTGGAGACACAATCCTGAAAAGTGAAACAACAACAACAAATTGCAGATTACCTGAATCTCAGCAATTTGCCTGACCCGATCTTTCCCTGTCGGATATCCTAACCTTCAACGCAAAATATTGAAATCCAAAACGCATGATCGAAAGCCGAAATGGACAAATCGGAACAGGCACCATCCGGGAATGGAAATTGAGAAAGCCAATGAAAACTAGCTGTCCTGAGTTTGGGTCGAGTTTTCAGGTGTGGGCAGGTAGGTGTAGATTTGCTTCTGGGTTTCTCACAGATTGGTGGTTGCCCCGAATTGAAGCTTCCGAAAGCCGTCAGTGATCGCAAACAACGGGAAGGAAAACTCAAAGCCAACCCACCGACTGTTTCAAACTGCGAGGGAAACTGAGATGCAGGCAGGGTGTGCATGCCCTGAGTGTAGGTGAGATCCTGCTGCAGCACCAGCCAGGCGTGGAGGGCCCTGCAGATCTCTTGCTTGGCATCCAGCATCCACGTCGGGAGCCTGGCGAAACGTTGAGTTTCCACGAGACGTTCCACCCATCCGAAGCCTTTCCAGAGCATACGCAACCTTTGGGTACCCAGATCAAAAATACTTCACCGAGTGGCCTCTCCAAATCCAGCTCGATCTGTCGCATCTCCTGCTCGGAGACAGCTCTCCTGACATTCTCTTGTGGCAAACTCTGCAACCCCCACGTCACTGAAAAAATATATATTGTTGATTTGGCGTTTGGCTGATCACCTACTCCAAGTGACTATGACTGACTGATCCTTTCATGTCGATGATGTTTTGGTCTGCCCCGAAGGCCTCCCCCGCTCCGCAAAAATGAAAAAAAACTATTGCGACTGAGGCGCGCCAGCGTCGGCGGATGTGGTGTCATGGCAGTCAGTGCTCTCGGCGCTTGAGCACAGACTCTCGAGCCTATGGAGACACATCTGGCTATTCAAATCAAGCACGGCAACCAAGTACTTTGCCAGTGGTCACAACACAATGAATGCTTGCAAGCCCTTCAGCTCTTGGACTGCTGTCTAAACATGGTCTCACCCAAGCGTGTCTTCGGCAATCAAACCAGCCCCAATCAGGCAAGGATGGCTTTTAACGCGCACATCGGCTGCAAGCAAGCACTGATTGCAAATCAAGAGCCAAAGTCTCAAAGTGCGCGGTGAATCGGAAAAATCTGCCCTTCACCCAGCCCCTTGCCTGGGTCGGGCTCAAGTCCGACAACTCTCGGAGGAGGAGCGCCTAGCCAACAAGCCGTCGATCTCCCGATCTCCCGATCTCCCGATCTCCCGATCTGCCGATCGCCTCGGCCAGAAGCTGCAGCCCAGCCCTCACCTGACACAGACGGGATGAGCTGCCCCAGCCAAGAAGTCGGTATGGGTCACATTAAACCACCAAGGGACCACAGGGTTTAGTCCATGTTTCCATTTACCAGGGTGGCACCTATGATTGACACACAGCCCAGTGACCCCGCCTCCACCGCGAGTTCCTCCGGTTGAGGAAGCAAGTCTCGGAGGGCCATGCCTGGCGAAGGAGGCGATCTGGGCCAATGCGTTGCCGCGTCTTGGGGCTGGGCTGGTTTTGGCCAGGTCTTCGACACTCGCGTCATCACGATGCCTAGGAAACGGCAAGCAGTGCGCAACGCTCGGTGGGCGGCGAGTGCAGGCTCAGAACACCGCTGCAACAGCAACGCCATGTGGGTGAGACTCCTCTGCAGGTACTCGCCTTGCCTCAGGTTCCGATTACAGAAAACGAAACTCATCAAGGCAGGCTGGCCTGAAGCGGGGATTTGCGAAAGCCTCCAGCAGCACCGTCACATCAGGCAACTGAAACATTGGCAGCCTGGCAGGATTCTCAAGTCTGGTACTGGCTCAGGCCAGCAGCATTGCCTGCGATGGAGGCGCCCGAGGTAAGTCGTTAGCAGGTTCTGATCGAACCAATCAGCACCTCAAATGAGCGAAGCTCATTGCTTCAACGCATCGTCCAGGCTCCGCACGAGCAAAGGCTCGGAAGATGTAGCACAGGTCGGGCTGGCGCGATTGATTCACACAGCAGGGCCCCACGCTCACTTTCCAGATTCTGGCCTCCTGAGTTCGAGAAGAAAGCTGCTGGGCACGCCAGCAAAACCTCACGTCGCTTGAGAGGAATCCCGGCAGCACAGCGGAACAGCTTTTTTCACCCCCGAAAGCCGAGAGCTAAGTTGGACTCCGGCTCAGCTCCACGCTTCATCCAAACCTCTGGATCCCACACGTCCTCCTGGAAAAAAAAAAGGATCCAACAAAGGAATCTGTCCGTCAAGCTGGGCCTGTACACACTTGTCAGTGAGCACCGCCAGCGTCACCTGAGTCAGTCACTTGAAGGTGTCGCTGGCTTCGAACACCCCTGAATCCAGCTCGCTTTGCATGTATAGATTGCAGCCGCCACTGTGCCCTCATTCATAGCTGACATTCATGTTGGAGAAGATTCTCAAAGAGAGATAAGGTGATAGAGCTATGACATGAGCTCGGGCAACATTATCTCTTAGTCATGTCACTGCTGTTTGTAATTTGCATCTCTGGAATTGCCTGTCATTCATGATGTTTATATCTTACAGTGCTATATGTATGATTCTAATATTCTTAGACAAAATAGAACGTGTAAACATGTGTGCATTTGGTATCTTGGGAATGCATGAATTGTTGACTTGTCATACTTCAGAAGAAGTGTTTCGGAGAAGATTAAAAAGGTAAGGAAGAGAGATAACTATTGGCTTTCATGTCATCTGGATTCTTCATTCCAGTTGCCTTCATCTCTGTCCTCTCCATTCTCATCTTGTCTTACAACGTTCTCAATCAAGAGCCAGATCAATCGGGAGCAAGTGACCCATGCCTGGACTTCGCTTGGGTTGATCTTCCACACAAATGGCGGGACTGAAACCGTGGGCGGGGCCGCGTCCATCTGCTCCACGTACATGCTGCCCCCTCGTAGGCCGGCCTCTGCCGCAAGCAATTCGAGGACCGACTTGGCAACCGAAGTCGCCTTCGTCACGTCGGGGAACCCGAAGAACGTGGCAGGGGCGATTCGCCTTTCTCGCCACCACTCCTGCGTGCGAAACATGCGCTCTGGGTAATTCATTGGTGCAAAAAGGCGATAAGCATTCGAATTCCTTGATTGAGGGGCCTAGGCTCAACTTTATCAGTAGACAAACATGCTTTGGACATGGGCGTGGACATCAGAAAGCGAGCCAACGGCCGGGGCCGGGCCTTCTGCGGCTGCACGCGTGAAAGGTCAAACCTGCGAACCGATGCTCCCAAAAAAAAGGCGTCATGGAATACACCGGTATTTGACAAGCCACGTGGTTTATTTATATATGATTTTGGTCTGGCTTGGTTTTTGTTTTGTTGTTTTTTCAAAAAGGTCTGACTTGGATTTGGGGCGGATTTTGGCAAGAAAGAAAGGCCGCAAGAAAAGGCGTGCCTATCCACCATTGGCCGCGGCATGCGGATGCGATGGTGCTGCTTTGACCACGTCCGCCTGGCACAATGGATAGAAGGTCCCCGGAGGGGTCCATCTCTGGATGGAAAGAATGACTTGCAGATTGCTCTGGAGAAGCATCCTACACAGGCTTGGCAACCTCTTGAGGGATGATTTGATGTTCGGGGACTTCTCTCAGTATGGTCCTCCTTTGGACCAATCTAAAGCTGAGAGATCAATGGCCCCTCTCCACAAGACCCCCGCCTGGACGGCGGCGTGTACCACCGACATCCTTGGCGTAGAGTTCTTGCGCCATGGCGCTGAAGCAGCGCCATGGGCCAATGTTCCGTGCAAGTTGGGTGGCTCTCAGTGAGGGATGACGCAATCTGCATGGCTCTGCTGCAGGGCCACATGCTGGCACGTGAGAACAAACCAGAGATGTCAATCACCTCACCGGGGGTGATAAAAGCTGTCAAGTCAAGTTGCAGCCATCTGAGCCACTGTCAATACGTCAAAGAGTGACATTGAATTTCGGTGAGTAAACCCATCCATCCCCTTTATTGCAGTAGATGGCGGCAAACATTGAAAAAAGCGTTTGGCGACCGAGTCTGCAATGTGTGACCATACCACGTTCAAGTCACGGCACCCCTTTCTTCGCGCATCAAGAGTCCGCATGGATCTGGAGTGACAACACGGACAACACGAGCTGCAGATGGCTTTCTGAAGAAACCATGTGGCTCTACAAGGGAATTCCATGACCTCCAGTTTAGATGTGAGACGTGACCTCGCAGATGGATTGGAAGCCAACGGTTTGGAACAAAGTGGACTTTTGCGGCACCAAACTAGAACCCGCTTTCTTTCTTGCCAAAAAGAAGAAGATCCACAGCTTCTCGAGCACAACGTGGTCCGCTTCCAATGCTCCCTGCAGGTTGGGCCCAAAGCATTTCAGTTTTTGATGCTCTTCGGACAGCACCTGCGAGAGATTTGCCTCGTGGCTTGTGACAAGCCGGCCGTCCTTATGGCTTTTCAATGAGAGCGGCGGTGAATTTGTGTCGTGAAGTCCCAAATGGGTAGGTGCACTTTTGCTTGCTTCGACCAAAAGACACACCCCTTGTTTGGGCAGCTGGGCGACTTACAGGCAAATGTTCAGCGCAGGCAAACAGCAAGGACGCCAGTCTTTCAGAACAGGCATGAATTTCGACAGTGAACTCCTGTTCACTGTCAAGACGATCACGGCGATCACGGCGGTCACCCTCTCCGCGCATCCCAACAGGATGGCTTGGGAGGGGTGCCGGTAAAAAAGCCTCCCGTTCAGGCGAACATTCCTCGCGAGCATAGGATCGTAACCTTCCTGGCACGAAAGAGCCCACGAGGAAAGCAAGTCAGAATGCAATGATGGGCCCCTAAATTGGCTCCAACAAAGAGCGGGTTTGTTGGAACCAGCAAAGGGCCCCTGAAACCAATCAGGCGTGGCTGGCCGGCCCTTCGAGACTTGTTCAAGCAGTTGGTCGGCACCTGTCGGTCAACAGCTCACCGCATGCCCTTCCAAAAGACTGAGGAGGGAGCTGCCCCGCTTTCCATTCACGGCAACAACTGCGTCTCCAGATCGCACCTGCCAGCTTCCCCTGTGGTTTGGATTCGTTCTTTGGTGGCGGGCAGGTGCAACAAAACAAAGTGAGACCTCAATTCGCCGACCAAGCCTGTTGGTCGGGCGGGGCCGTCTTGTTCCATTCGTTGACCAAGCCATCTTTGATCTTCCACACCTAAGGCAAAAAGTTCGCAAAGCAATGCACCTGCGACGACTTCCCTGTCGGACGCGGCCTTCAAGACTTTGCCGCCAACGACGCTGATATCCAAACCTGCAGAAAATCTTGGTTGCCGTTGACCCCCTGCAAAGTGTTTAACTTTTTGGGAGTTTAGTGGAAAACCCCTTGATTTCCTAAAGATCCAACCCAGTAGCAGTCAAGACATGTTCGCTGACTTCAGAACATGAACTGGGACAAAAGGATGCCGAATGAGCACCCAGCCTATCCGTTGATCGTCCGGGCTTTTCTCAATCACAACCTGGCAAGACTGGAGGCCAAAATTTGTTCAAGCTTTCCGTGAGTCATAGAATCTTGACGTTCACCACTGATGTCGAAAGCCGGTGATCTCTGCGCAGTTGCTGTCTGGATATTTGATACTTGAATATATCAGCTCAGAGCAACCAAGAACAGCTGAGCATCAGCATTGCCCCCACACTTGCGGCTATACATGTCAGAAGCCTCGAACTCCCTGTCATTGCGGGGACTGGCCTGGCCAAAGAAAAATCGGCGCCATGCACGCGCTCTCGGGCTTGCACTTGAAGGCCACTTCCTGTAAGCTTGGCACCATCGCCTCCGCTTCCTTGGCCTGGCGGGGCATCATTCTTGTCTAAGTTTTAAGGGGACTTCAACCCCCACACCCCACACCCCACACCCCCACCCCCGGCCCGGCACATGAAGCGACCCCTCAGAATTTGTTTTCCTTTTGGGGCGGAGTTTACGAAGCGAGGCTCGGCGCCGCACCCGTCGAGTTCGAAGCTCGGGCCTCATCAGAGCCGGCAAGCTTCGGCTTGTCGCTCAGGCGCTCCACCGGCGAGGCAAGCGCCTGGCCGCGCGCGGCGGTTTTTTGCTCGGCGCGGTCCATCGCTGGTTCCTCCCGCTCGGCTCTTTTCGGCGCCTCCACGGTCTGGCCCTCATCAGAAGTGCAGCAGCACCTCGCAGTGTCGCAAGAGCCTTTGATCTGCGCAAACCCATGGCGTGGCATGCCCACGCCGCATGTCAAGCACGCTGAGAAGCTGGCATAAACGCCATCGGACCTGCACGGGGCCACCACTCAAAGTGCAGAGAGAAGGGATCGAGGCTACGGCCAGCTTCACCAATTCGCCAAGATCAATCGAATCAATCGAAGTGTGGCTAGCCCAGGCTGCGGAACGAGTCAATCGACCCTTCGACTGTGACAAGCGCTGCGTTCCCAAGCGACGTGCAACGGCTCAGCAGCTTCGCGCTGTTTTGGCGAGGGCGCTTGCGAGTAAGGGCCATGAAGCGAAGCTCATACCCACTCACGTCAGAGCCGAGCACTAACCAAACGTACAGGTTGGCACTTCGGGCAACATTGGGCTTCCTGAAGTTGCGTGAACAGCCTGCGGGGCCGGCTAAAAACTTGAAGCAGCCCAAGTTGCCCCATCTGTGCCACATCAGTCTCCATCTTGTTGTAAGCGGCGCGATTCCAAGTGAATTCAGCTCTGATGCTGAAAGTAGTGAAACCAAGCAGAACAAAGTCGGCAAGCGGACGGATGTCCATCGCCGAAGATCTGCAACGCTGGACATGACAGCATGGCAAACAACATGAATCATTTGCTGCAGCCTTCCAGGTCGATGGCTTCTGGGCAATGCGAAAACTGTCCCTTTTTCTCAGGGAAAGGACCCACTGGAAAGGACCTGGGTTGTTGGACCTGGGAAAAAGAGCTGGCATGTTTTGGCCAGCTCCGGCTGCTGGTGAGACGGCCAAAGGAACTCCTGGCAGTTGTTTTTCGCCTAAAGGATCCGCGCTCAGAGGCTCCGGGCAGAGCCTCCCACAGGAACCTGAGTCTGTTCCGGCGTGCCGTCAGCGTCCTACCCGAGATTGGCCAGGGAAACTCCCGGTGATTTTGGAGAACGCTGCAGGCACCCAGGCAACTTGCCAATTGCTACTTCTGTCTAAGCTCGGGGCGGTCAAGGGTGGCAAACCCATACCTCTCGTACATCGCAATGGCAACACATGTCAGAATGCTCTTGAGCAATCATGCCAGCTGTGCCATGAGGGGCCTGCCAGCTGCCAAAGCAGAATCACTACTCAGAAGCCAAGGTTCACATCGAGTTCAAAAGCCATGGCCTTGCGCAACTCGCGGCCATCCGGAACTGTTTCATCCTGCGCGGCGTTTCTCAAGCCTCTTGGCAGAGAGCCTTTTGAGACTCCGCGCCTCAGGCTCCCGGACGTTCCATCGCGGATCCTGGTGCCACTGTGGCTCCTGATCCTCATCGTCCTGGGTGTCTTTGTACCCCCGAAAGCGGGAAGCTTTGAAGGGAAGCCAAAGGAAAACGAAAGGGAAACCACCCGTTCTGGGGTTCCCTATTGTGACACATACCCACAAGAGGGGCTCGTAAAGGCATTTGCGCTGTTTGCCCGCCTCTTCTATGTCATCGTACTCGTCGTCCTCATCACCCTCATCCCAGTGGTTGAGATTCGGCTGAGCCGACCTGCCATGCCGCAAGTCGTGGCGTGTTCGAGGATGAAACATCCGCCGGGCTCACGCTTTGGCGGCCAGGACGTTCGGCTCAAAGGGCCAGGAGTCCACGCAGTATGGGTTGCAATGCGACGTCCCCACGTCCCACCTGCGACCAAGGCGACGCTCCAAGCAGGCGCCAACGCGACGCTTCAAGCAGGCACGCCACCTGTGACCTCCTGAGTCGACCACATGGGCTCATCCTGAGGCTCGTCGTCATCAAGGACCACGGGCGGAGGTGCCAGGAAGATCTCTCCTCTCCGATTTCTGAAGGGGGATTCCTCTGAAGGGGAAACCAAAAGGAAAGCTTCAAGGCAAACGTGTTCAAAACATGTCGCTGTGGGTAGGTGCACCACCCTTTTTAGTCTACTTTAGTGGGGATTGGGATGTTCCCTGGGGCTACTACGATTTGGATTTTGACCCATGGCCATGTGAGCTGAGCGTAGGCCTGCGGGATGCCGCCGCAAAATCTGCATGCCCTCTTGCGCCAGGACTTCGCCTCGTTTTCCGAACGGACCTCCTCCATGAGGGTCTATCCATCTATCTGTATGTAGATATATAGGTATATACATTACTATGCCTCTGTATATGTATATGTGCATGTGTATATGTATATATGTTTATATAAATCCACCTTTCTGTCAGAATTTGCTGGTATGTGCAGCGAGTTCTGCCTTTGTTGCTTCCCGGAAAGCCGCAAGACCAGGCGCATGTTCAACAAACAATCTGGAAGCTTCAGGTTCCAAACCTTTCCAGGAATCCAGGCCTGAATGAAACTTCCGTCGGTTTGGATCTACCTCTTGTCCTACTTCTAAGCTGAGGTTTGGTGCGAAGATGCCAAAAAACAAAGCGGTGAAGCCAAAAGCAAAAAATATCACATAATATGTTGATGTTGGAGCCAATGACCCAAAAGTGAGAAAGTGAAAAGGCAAAAACGTAAAGATTAAAAAAAAAACGGGAAAATATGCAAGAGGTACATTACAATAGCTCTGTCCATGATCCGAGCATTTTACTTCAGGACCATGATGTTGCCTGCTTGCCTTGTTTTATATTCTTTACTTTTGACTGTTGGCTCCAGAATTGCATGTTTTACATGGTCGTTTTACTTATCACATGCTCGTTTTACTTATTACAGTTGCTGTTTCTTTTCCTTCCATTGTTGACTTGTTTACCATTTGTTCGTTTCTTACATTTGGGTCATTGGCTTTCTTCGCTACAGGTTTGTCCTTGATTGAAGATTTACTTGTTTGCTTTTGGGCCATTGGCTTCAATGTTTCATAGTTGCTTTGTGTTGTTTATTTCTTTACTTTTGGCTGCGATACAGCTGTTTGTGTTGCATTCCTGACCAAACCTCAGGACAGGTTTGGGGTTTAGGGTTTACGGATTATTAACTCACGGATAGGAATCGGACCTAGTCTCGTACAAACTCAAGACCACAAAATGTGTGTTTGGTTTTCGACTTTCATGGGGAACATTCGTCTTTGCTCAAACAAATTCAGTGTGTTTATTTGCTTGGAATTCAAAAAGAACTCGATAAGGACTCAAACTTGAGTTCTGTCTTGTCTCAAACTGGATTTGAAAGAGGATGTCCTTTTCCAGTACTATTGTTTTGTTTTGTCTAAATAGAACTTAATAACGAAAGACTTTTGGTCGAGTCTCTACGAGAAATCCGCCGACCCCTTCTCCTCAAAGGGGGAGGCGCACGGGAAGGGTGGTTACAGCACAAGTCCAAGGTTGGTTGGTAAATGAGCATAGCCGAAGATTCAACATTATCAGCGTAAGCAATACCGTCATCGTAGCAGAGGGTGCGTAGTCATGATTATCATCATGACTGTTGGTGATGCAGAAGATGCACGATGCTGGTTATCGTCCATGATGACGATGACGATGATGATGATGATGCTGATGATGATGACGAAGGTGATGGTGACGACCACAATCATGGTGATGATGACATGCTCATCGTCATCACATCATCATCGTTGTGACCTGATTGGAGATGTAGAGGATGCGTAGACATGATTATCATCATGACTGCTGGTGATGCAGAGGATGCACCATGATGGCTATCATCCAAGATGATGACGATGATGATGACGATGATGACGATGATGACGATGATGATGATGACGATGATGCTGATGATGACGATAATGACCACCATCATGGTGATGATGACATGCTCATCATCATCACATCATCATCGTTGTGACCTGATTGGAGATGCAGAGGATGCGTAGACATGATTATCATCATGACTGTTGGTGATGCAGAGGATGCACGATGATGGTTATCATCGATGATGATAACGGTGATGATGACGATGGCGATGACGAGGATAATGCTGATGATGATGACGATGATGATGATGATGATGACACGCTTGTCAGTATATCACATCATAATCGTTGTCGTCCTTATCTTGTTTAAATAGGTTTCAAGGGTAGCGTTAGACCCGATTGGAGATGCAGAGGGTGCGTAGTCATGATTATCACCATGAGTGTTGGTGATGCAGAAGATGCAAGATGATGGTTATCGTCCATGATGACAACGGTGATGATGCTGATGCTGATGACGATGACGATGGTGATGATGATGATGACCATAATTATGGTGATGATGACATGCTCATCGTCATCACATCATCATCGTTGTGACCTGATTGGAGATGCAGAGGATGCGTAGACATGATGTTGTCGTCCTTATCTTTTTTATATACGTTTCAAGGGTGACGTTAGAGCCGATTGGAGACGCAGAGGGTGCGTAGTCATAATTATCATCATGACTGTTGGTGATGCAAAGGATGCACGATGATGGTTATCGTCCATGATGACAACGGTGATGATGACGATGACGATCATGATGATGCCGATGATGATGATGATGATTGTAATGACCACCATCTTGGTCATGATGACATGCTCATCATCATCACGTCATCATTGTTGTGACCTGGTTGGAGATGTAGAGGGTGCGTAGACATGATTATCATCATGACTGTTGGTGATGCAGAAGATGCACGATGATGGTTATCGTCCATGAGTATGACGATGACGATGATGATGATGATGCTGCTGATGATGACGATGGTGATGACGGTGATGACCACCATCGATGACGTGATGACCACCATCATGGAGATGATGACATGCTCATCATTATCACATCATCATCGTTGTGACCTGATTGGAGATGCAGAGGATGCGTAGACATGATGTTGTCGTCCTTATCTTTTTTGTGTACGTTTCAAGGGTGACGTTAGAGCCGATTGGAGATGCAGAGGGTGCGTAGTCATAATTATCATCATGACTTCTGGTGATGCAAAGGATGCACGATGATGGTTCTCGTCCATGATGACAACGGTGATGATGACGATGACGATGATGATGATGATGCTGCATCTTGGTGATGATGACAGTCCGCGATGGGTCCCCTGTTGTAGCCAGGGTGCGGTGCATTTTTGCTTTGCTGTCGCGTGAAAATGCACCGCTGATGATTAATCATCATGACGCATCCTCAGCATCACCAGCAGGCATCATGATAATCATGTCCACGCATCTTCTGCATCTCAAATCGGCTCTAACAGGACTGATGATGATGATCATGATGATGATGATGATGAAATGACATGATAATCATCATGACGCATCCTCAGCATTACCAGCAGTCATGATAATCATGTCCACGCATCTTCGATGATGATGAACTGAGATGGTGGTCATTATCGTCATCATCATCATCATCATTGTCATCGTCATCATCGTCATGATCGTCATCATCATCGTGACCATCATCATGGGTGATAACCATCATCGTGCATCCTCTGCATCACCAGCAGTCATGATGACAATCATGTCTACGCATCCTATCAGGTCACAACGATGATGCTGTGATGATGATGAGCATGTCATCATCACCATGATGGTGGTCATTATCGTCATCATCATCATCATTGTCATCATCATCATCGTCATCATCGTCCTCATCATCGTCATCATCATCGTAATCATCATGGATAATAACCATCATCGTGCATCCTCTGCATCGCCAGCAGTCAATGATGTGATGATCATCATCGGCATCATCATCATCGTCATCATCATCAGCATCATCATCATCATCGTCATCATCACCGTTGTCATCATGGACGATAACCATCATCGTGCATCTTCTGCATCACCAACAGTCATGATGATAATCATGACTACGCACCCTCTGCATCTCCAATCAGGTCACAAAAATGCACCAAGCCAAGGAAAGAAAACGATCGCTCCAGAATGCATCATCATCATCATCATCATCATCATCACAGTGCTCATCATGATCATCAGCATCATCAGTCCCATTAGAGCCGATTTGAGATGCAGAAGATGCGTGGACATGATTGTCATGATGCCTGCTGGTGATGCTTAGGATGCGTCATGATGATTATCATGTCAGTTCATCATCATCATCATCATCATCATCATCATCATCATCATCATCATCATCATCATCATCATCATCATCATAAAAGCGGTGCATTTTCACGCGAAAGCAAAGCAAAAATGCACCGCACCCTGGCTACAAGAGGGGACCCATGGCGGCCCCATTTTGAAGCGGCCCCGTTCATTTCAGCCATTCCCAAACTGGTTTGGGGTCGGCGGCACTGGGCGGCAGCCCTTAAATTTACTAGGATGTCCTTTTCAAAGAAGCTTTGTAATTGAAACTCTTATTTGATATCTAGTTTCAAACGGATTGTTACAAATTTGCTCAGAAATCAAATACGGAAAGAATTCTAGCAGAATTTCTAGGTTGAAAAGAATGTTTAGTGTTTAAGAGAATTTACCAGATTGTTTAAAGTACATTTTTCTTGAAGTCGTACTTCCAAATAGATGTTAAAAAAAGATGCCCTTTTTCAGTATGATGTTTCTCAATGTTCTAACTATAATTTAAAATTGAGGCAGAAGTAAAAAGTCCCACTATAATTTCTAGAGTTGAAGATAATTAGACAGGATTGTCTTTTGAAGAACAGTGTACAATTGGGATTCTTACTTCGAACTAGATTGTGAAGAGAACTTCCTTTCGGAGGCGCTGTTTCAGTTGTCTAATTAGAACTCAAATAGAATTAAATAGAAACTATGTCCAGCATAATTTATAACTTTAAGGAGAATATAAATAGGATAGCCTTTTCAATGGAATTAAGAAATGTTTTGATTTCGATTTAGATGTTGACGAGGATTTCCCTGCTTAGGATGAGCTGATGCTGGTCAAGTCGCAGGGGGCAGTCCAAAGAAAACTACTGCATTTCATCTCAACAAAAGCATTCAAACTGCAAAAGATGGATACAGTGAGACCCGAAGCAAATGCACAGCCAAGGCCGCCCCGCTTTGGCGGAAGAAAGCCCGCTGGCGGTTGGCTATCGCGGCCCACTGCTTTTCCTGACAAAGCACCGGATGGGATCAGTGCTCCAGCTCGAAAGAGACAGCCTGATGACGAGCTTCGGCTAGCTGACCAGATAAATCCTGGACCTTCAGACATGCAAAGCCAATCAAAGCTCCATCTTTGCCCTGCATCCTGCCTCATTTTGAAGCCGAAGAATCGCTTCTGCCTGTCCAGACATGCAAGGCTGCCAACTGCATGTCGAAAAGTTCGCCAACTGCATGGCCAATGAAACGCGACACCTGCTCTTGAGGTGCTTTGGTCACATCCGCAAGGTAGGTATTCAGCCTGGCAATGTCTCGAAACTCGCAAAACACCAACACATGGCAGACCCATCGCCTGGCCGTGGCCTGAGATAAGTCACAAGCGACCAATCGCGGGTGAGAGCCTCTGCCTCTCTGCCCCTCAAGGTCGCTGGGGCCTCCGCCGCCCGCGCTTCGGCGCTTTGCTGCCAGAGCCTGGCCGCTCCGCTCGTGACACGCGTCGCATCGCGCGCGCACAAAGCGCTTGAGGGCCAGGCTCTTGCCGAGTCTCACGCAGCTGGTGGTGCAGCTCAGTCGTCTGCGCCTTGGAAGAAATATGGGTGTGGGTCAAAAATAGGTACCCAAAATGGAACCTGGTTAAAGGAAACAAGGACTGAAACCTGCAGTCCCCGGTTGGTTCGAATTTTCACCCATACCCATATGAGCGGCGGCCTTTATTTGTTGCTTCCGCTAATGGAAACAGCTTGCTGGGATCCTCCCTATCTCGTTCATTCGTACTAGGCCGACTTCCTGATCTCGTTTCTCACGCTGTCCTCAATTTCTATACCACCATGTCATACAACTGTTTCCCTCTCGTGCGTTTTGTCCAGAAAACTGTTTCCAGTCCCTTGCTAGTCTGCATGTGCGCAAATAAGAGCGGGCGCTCATATGTCCCTGTCACAAACTCCAGGGCTCCAGGGGCCAGACGTCGCGCTTAGACAGAACTCTTTGCAACGTGTGCAAAGAATGTCGGTGAGCCTCATCCTGGTGCCATTGTCTGTCGCTCGCAAGCGCACAGTGTTACAGGCCTCGTCGAAAAGACCGCCCTTCTCGGGAGGATCTGGAAGGTCCAATTGCCTGCAATTCAGCCAAGCGCGAGATTTGCACCTGGACTCGGCAGAGTTCCAGGCCTTTCAGTGGGGCCAAACCTGGCATTTGCAGGCTCCTATTCCCTTGTGACAAGGCTTTCACCGCATATGCTCTGGGGCAAGCGCTGCTTATCTCGGCTCGCCTCAGCTTCGTTCGCTTCTCCCACTCTCGCTCGGCACGTTGGCCTTCAACGGCTCCAGCGTAGTCGGTGGCAATGGAGGAGGCAGCGGCTCCTGCAAAATGGCGCCCCGTTTGGCGTGAACGGCTCGTCCGGTGAGCCTCTGCAAACCTTGCACCCCTTTATGAGCCATAGGGGGAAAGCACCTAACCCGCAACACCCCCAACCAAGCAAAAGGAAGCTCTTCTGTCGCGAGGCGCAGCGCCTTCCCCATCTTATCTGGTGGCATGGCCACGACGCCGGGCAGGTCCTCTCCGGAGCGAGACAGGCGAAACGTGCGACCGCAAAGTGCGGCCACCGCCCCCCCCCTGTTTTGGTGGCCCCTTTTTAGTGGCCTGAGTGAGAGAACACAGGGCACAGTTCGAAGCCAAAAGGCTTAAGAAACCCTTCTAGCCGCTCGGCCGTCCCTATCTTCCGATACACGTCCACGGGTCGAGGCCTCTGACCGCTCGCTGCTGCTGCGGTTGGACGAGCTCGGAGTTCGCCTGGAAATGCAAAATCCATGCGCATTTTAACGTTTGGAGGTGTCTTTACTTGAGTTGTCACCCTTTTTATCTTAGGTGTTTTTTGTCTCATGGGAAACCAAAGGAAACAAATCGCCCTGTTTTGCGATGGGGCCCGCTTGGAGGGTTTCAAAGGGAAACCCAAAGGAAACCACCCATTCTTCTGGGGATGCCAATTTGATTTCCGAGGCCCCAGACGTGTCTGCGACAGAACCTTTCGAAGGCTGCGCTTGGCCCTGATCCGTCTCCTCGGCCCGTGAGTGAACCAATCGAGCAGCGCGCGGTTCATTTCATGGACTTTTGGTTCTATCATGGCCACGGTTTGCAATGACTTCATTGTAGAACCCCAATCAAATCAGATAGCAGAACCACGACAATAGCCAATAGGGGTTTTTGGGAGCTATTAACCCGCCCACCAAGAGTACCCTCAAAAACCCAGACCACCCATCCCGACACCCCAATAGGAGCACACGCCTCTACAATTGGCATCGCCGACTCGCGGAGCGTGGGTGCCTCAGTCAGGCATCCTCTCGCATCCTACCTTCCCGGTTTTGACCCATGTGCACCGAGACGATGTTGTTTGGCATCTTTCAACATGAATGAGAAGGGGTCCCTAGCCTGAAATTGTGCACTTGGTCAAAGTCTCTTCCAGGGCTCCGTTTGGGCCGGAGAGTCTGTCTCATTCTGAAGTGCATGACCTGTTGCAAGACCTGTTGCTGTTCTGTCTGTGTGCATGGCCCAATCTATGACCAACGCAGCAGTCAAGCCGTGAAAACAAGCCGTGCCATGCCAGTGAAAACAAACAGGAGAATAGGGATCAACAATCCCGCAATGCAAAGCGCAGATACGAATATTACAAAAGGCAACCGAGTACCAGCCGTGCAAAGCGGGGAGAAGAGGATTCACAACACGTGAGTGGATCCAGGACTTCAGGGAACACCCAAATGACATGAAAGTCCAAGCACCGAGCCTCTACTAGCTGCAGGATGTGGTCAAGTCGATCACTAACTTCCTGCAAGGTCGCGAGGCCAAGGTCAACTCTGGCTGGGGCTCAAAATGGTAAACTCCTCTTTGGGCTGCAATTTGTGGAGGTCCCTGTGTTTTTGCAAACGCTTTTGAAGATTTGCAAAAACTCCTGCGCCGTGCAGCCCTGCCGCATCTGCAGTTCCATTGCCAACCTTGCATCGGACAAGGGGGCCCTGTTTTGTTCAACCCCAACCAGTGTATTTTTGGAAATAGACCAAAGGAAACTGGATATCAAAAAGAGACAAGCAAAAACGACAGGTCCGGTCCAACAAACGTTGCCCGCTGGAACAGATTTCTTGGGCCACCGCTGCAGCTTGTGACACATGGCCTTCACATCACGTGAAGCATCCTGGACCAAGACTCATAGCACGAGGGAAGCTTGTCATTTCCCACCTTCTCGCTGGACTTACCCTCGCCTCTCTCAGCATCTTTCCACCCTGGCAGGCTCACTGCGACTGCCAGTTTTGTATAATTCGAATGGAGCAAATGTCATGTTCGAGTTCATCACAACTCAAAGCAACACTGAAACCACTCGGGCCTTCTTCAATCACTCGGCTGCTTCGCCGATTCCTGCAGAGCTTCATTTGCTGCGCCGCGGACATTTGGCGATGAGGCACTGGCACAAGGGCGAAGTGGACGGCAGCGAACAGGGTCACAGTCAAAGCCTTGGTCAGCAGCTTGCGTGCGCTTGGGTCCGTTCAAAAGAATAAAGTGTGACCCTGGCACACACACACACACACACACACACGCACACACACACTTAGAGAGATCCGCGCGGCGAAAGACTTAAAGCACTCTGGCAACTCAGAACTCTGGATTGTTTTTGTTCCCCGTTTCACACCAAGCTGACTCCTCACTTCGGTCCGCTGCGCTGTGTGATGGAGCCGACTTGGGGGCCGCGCCACCCCGATGAAGAAGGCGAGGAGGTGAAGTCCATCAACACCGGACCTGCCAACGCACCCGAGACTCGGCCCATGCCCCGATTTGCAGCGCAAAGGGCCCCCCCCCCAAACGGGCCACCCCAACAGTGGAATTTCCCCTCCAAAGGTTGATCTATTTCGTAGGTTCCACTAAAACTGCCACTTGTGAAAGGATCTTTCAGGGCCAGGCATGCTCGTAAAGCTCCACCTCAGACATCAGAAAACTGGTCGGCTATGTCCTGCGAGGACATCGTCCCTGAGTGCCAGGCAGGTGGGCCCATGTCGGAGCACGTCACTAGTTGTCTTTTGAGAAGGCTGGCAAGGCAGCAGGGCGAGCACGCCATGCATCTTCAACCAGCTTCAAGCGCGAGACAAGCATTTCTGCAGTTGGAAGTGTGCCAAAATATGGCCTTTTCTTGCGGCTTGGCATGTCTCTAAATCGCGAGAAATATGCAGACTCATACGACTGCGGCGCCGTAATCCGGCGCCCACTTCAGAGATGGAACATCCACAGGAGACTGGCCTGAAACCGAAGTCGCGACCGCAGCTTTCAATGAGAAATGCTCGCAAGAGGTCGCGGCCAGAGACAGAGCGCAGGATGTTGCCGAGGACTTCACACCAGCTTCCAGCAAAGAAGGCGCTGTGGTACTTGGGCTTGTTGAGGGGGCCTACCAGGTGGCTTCAGGAGAACAAGATACTTTGCTACCTACTCGATGTAAGAAGGTACTCTGCAACAAGAACATGCAGTCTTCGCGGGCTCAGACAAAAACTGCAGAGATACAGTACATGGGTTGCGGATTGAGGCGTTCAAGGCCACATTGCTTACAAATTATGTCAGAACTAAGGACTTTCATGTTTGTCGTCTGTTCAGATCGAGCGTGAATGGATCCCTAGTTTTACACGCGGCCAAGTGTCCGTGTGTCGCAGTCGACTGCTCGGGAACACATGAGGCATTCAAGCCATGCCGTGCCTTCGTCGCGGTTTGCTCCCCGTCATCGGATTCCTCATCGCCACCACCTGGTAAGAAGCTGAACAGGTCAAATCCCCATGCCCGGAGCAAGCGCCGAGAGAAAAGAAACACTTTCGTGCCTGGATTCGACATGGTGGGCGGCTCCACATCGTCCGGGGACACGGATGCCACGACTGCGACGACTTTTGCCGGAGAGGTGGCAGCGTCGCCGGAGACAATGGAAGAATCCAGGACCTCGAGGCGGGTTCTTCATCCGACAAAAGCGACTCGGACAACACCTGGCGAAAACAAGCTCCGCAACTCAAAGCAATCCCCCACAACCCAAACTTCTTGGGGGAAACCCCAGAAAGGCGCTTCACAGGCCGCAAGAAGGACCTATCCACCACTCGAAACCTGAGGCCGCCGCAGCGTTTCGGGCAGCGTCACTCCCAGCATCACCCCCACTCGTCTGACCGCCAGAAGTCCCTTTGCCTGACTCCGAGGTCCCAAAGTCCTCAGCAAACTTCTGTAGGCTGATGTCTTTCCGTTCCCTCTCCCTCTCTGCCGCTTTTTGCTCGTTCTTTTTGGTTTAATATATCTTCCTTGTTAGATTTGTTTTAACTTCTCCCCCTCTCTCTCTCTCTCGCTGTTTTGAAGATCCGTGCGAAGTTTCTGGATCAACTATGTCCATGGCAGGTCAAGCTGTCAATGGCAAAATGAATGGAGATACACTCGCATGGGCATGAGCAATATGTGGATGGCATGCCTGACAGAGGCACCACTCGGAAGTACATCGAACAGGCCCTTACAAGGAAAGGCCGGAAGATCATGTCCAATGTCATGTTGCAACACTAATAGTATGAGGGACTGGTGGAATCGGCTCGATGGACCCCATTGGGCGCAATGCTGGCAAGCGCGGCTTCCCCAGATCACCACGATAGACGAACTGACGAACTGATGATGAAGATGAACTCACGCTGAAGTGATGGGTATGGATCACAATTGGACCACCCGTAGGTTTTAGTCCTTGTTTCCATTTTCCAGGGCCCTGATGATGACGACACCAGTGACTGCCGAAGGAACAGGGCTCGCCAGGTGTTGAGTTTTCAGCTGCGCTGTCGGTCAAGGAATCCGGGTGACTCGGGGGACTCCGCTCATTCCACGTCGGTTGCTGTGATGGCCGTTTCATGGGGCGGAGGGCACCTTTTGGGTCGCTCACCTTGCCGGTGAAGAGCGCGAGCAGCTCGTAGGCGGTTGGCGGCGCGCTTTCGTCTTTGGACTGTTGGGGCCGGGATCGCGGTGATCCCTCCGAAATGCAAAGCCCTCTTGCTCGGCGACATTGCCTCTTTGAAGCCTGGCCCCAGGGCTTCAGAAGATCTGCGCCATGAGAGAACAACCGCTGCAAGCTTGCAGTTCGGTTTGGTCGTTTGGTCGCCCAGTTTGCTGTTGCAATTACCACACACGCCTCTTCCATGAAAGATGCTGCGTTTCGGTGCGACCCAAATCGATGGCAATTATGTTGTGTGGGCAACTGTTGATCGAACTTCTTCAGCAGGCAAAAAAACTCAGAGGGTTCCCTTCTACCAACAAACATAGAAGCATGTATGTGTGTGTGTGTGCCTGTGAAGGCAGAACTGAGAAGCCAGCGACCTTCTTGATGACGCCAGGTGCCTCAACAGGTTGACAGCTTGAAACTGGCAAACGTGATCACTTGCCAAGTGCAACCCAGCCGCCAGAGTTGTTGTGGTGGTTTGAAGCATTGCCGTGATGCGGCCCACCTTCACACTCCTGATGAATCGAATTCACCGAAACCCACAGCTTGGATCTTGACTCGAGTTTTGAGGGTCGCGCAAATCAAGACCTTCGTCCATGATACAGTTCTGCATCTTCAGAGCTGCGAAGGTCAAGTCCTGTCGGATGAATCTCTCCAACTGAAGCCACGTCTCTGCCAGTCCAGCCTGGTCTCGCAACTTCTCGGCCAGGCCCTCCGGCGTTGGGTCAACCGACTTGGTCGAGAGGGTAATGGCGAACCTCGGGCAAGTAGAGAGGTTTGTGTCACAGACACCATGGTCCATGGGGCGTGCACCAAGCTGAGACTTCATTCTTGAAGCCCTTGTCTGGATCGACTGGAGTTTCAGGAGGTATCTGTGCCGTTCGGATCAGCCAAAGGGCCAAAGCAGAACGTGGTTGCGACACAGAGACAAAAAGGCAAAAAGGCAAAAAAAGGCGCCTCCCCAAGCTCTTCGGAGGGCTGCTGTAGCAGGGAATCCGCCCGGGACTCACTCGGCACCAGGGAGACTCGCACACCTGGCGTGGAAGAAAGCCGTGGGAGTGTGCCGAGACATGATTGTGAGATGCCAGACTGTCACTGCGAACGGTGCGCAAGCATGGCGGCTTCTCTGTCAGCAGGAACTCCGGCAAGTTGTGCCAGCGCTTCTCGCATGCCCTGGCCAGTTAGATCAATCACACATCAAAAGGACGCCAAGCTGAAGGACGACTTCTCTTCTGCATGTCACGGCTCATGACAAGATCTGTTTGGACCTCTTCCGCTCTGCGATCTGCTGCAAACGACTTGGGATAGTCAGTCACCATCTCAACAACCTGAGCAACTGCGACTCACGTCAACACCTCGCAATCCTCCTCACCTCATCTTCGTCACCCCAATAGTCAGTGGACACAAACATCGCTCCCCGCGTGTGTTTGTTTAGTGTATGTTATATATTTGTAAATATATATATAGACATAACATCCATCCAAGGGGCACTTGAAATTCATACAGACACTCAAACCTGAGCCGCGCACGCCGGTCACCCGGACTTGTCCTGGAGGCTCCTCCAGCGTCAGCACGGGCTCGTCCACCTGCTGCTGGTCGCCATCAGCCTTCGCCAGGATCTGAATCACCTGCATCGCATCGAGGGAAAATGCACAAGTCCGCGTGTAGCCAGTGTACCCAAGAGAAGTCGTCTGGAAA